AAAAGAATGTTATTGATTTTTTTTTTTTAAAATCACCCATAAACTTCTTTTAAACCACTCGCGATAGAAATAAAAAGAAAGAAATAAAAAAAGAGTGTGTACATATATTTACAAAATATCGATAGTCGATTAATTCAAAGGATCGATTACAATTTCTAATAATATCTTTTTTCATTTTATTTTTCGTTAAAACGATAGAAATTTAGTTTTACAAAAAACGAGAGTAAAGACTTGTTCTGAACATCCTTCGAAGCTTACTTAGATCATTTAACCCCCGTAAATTACGTTAATTGCTTTAATGCGAAATAAAATGAGTTTTTAAGTTCGTCTTCGAAAGATAATGTTGAATAAAGGGGTGAGGAGGTGGTTGGGGCTAGGAAGAAAAGGAAGAAGAGAATAGAAGAAGTCATGGAAAGTTTTGTAACATGGTTTCAAGAGCAAGCATTATTATATTCGTAAGAGTTGGAACACATTAGCTTTTGTTATGTGAATGTGTCATCGATGAACGGAGAAATCTTTTGTCTTTAATGCATTACCTTGAAGAAATTACTTCCGGTTTAGTAGTAAGTCCTCCAATTTGCATTTAACTGTTTCGTGACAATACCTAATCTATCTTTGTCTCTCTCTTTTTCCTGTCTTTGTCTATTCCTCTATATCTATTTTTATTTAACACACTCTTATCCTAGATTCATATTATTTAATCTCCTGTTTTATAATTATTAATACAGATATTTGTATGCTCAGGTAATAATTATATCAGTAATGTTGATTGTTCACTGTAATAAGTGTACAAATTAAACAAAAAATTAATTTTATTATTAATATTATCAAAGTTATGTGTGCGAGTTTAATTTCACATAACAGAAAAATACGTAAAAAAAAGAAGTATAATAATTTGTATGAATTTAATATAGATTATATTAAATACTACATTTTTTGTTATATTTCAACATATATAAATAGGAAATAATTATTTTATCATTCAAATATAGTTTAACGTTATATTTTGAAGACATTTCAATCAGAAAGACGGGGCCAGGGGTTTGTTGGAGAAAAAAATGCTGATAAAATAATATATTAAATAAGAAATAGAATGAGATGTTAATGTAATTCAGTGCTAATATTCTAAGGAAGCTTAGAATGATACTATCATGCCTTAGTTATCTCGAAATCCCGTCAACTGTTCGCATACACACGTTCCCGAAGGCCGAAGGCATAAACCTCTTCGTCAGGAATCGAGTTTATCTCAGCACTCGAGGCTTAATTACAACGCGTAATCGTATTTTGATTGCGTCTTGGGTAGGTCGCCTAGAAACAGTATGAGAGAGTGAGAGAAAGAGAGAGAGAGAGAGACGAACAAGAAGCTTACGATTAGAACAGCAGCAATAATTTCTGATTTTAGGAGAGGTAGATAATATATGGTTGCTTTAGTAGAAATGCGAGAACCTTTGAAAGCAAACATATTAAGAATTAGATGTTCAAACAACCAAATATTCCTCTATTTATTGTGTTAGAAACAAACGGGAAATGGTTTGAACATAATACGTTAACATTTCGAATAATATTTCTATGAAATATATATGATTGTGTTAATATTCTATTTTTCGTTGATTTTTTTTTTTATTTAATATTCTTTTTTCTCTTTTCATGTGTATGCATATGCACTTACTTGTTCTTATTTTTTAATATTGAAAAAAATATAAAGTTTAGGAAGTGTATTTTCATCTACTGTATAAAGTAATCTCAAAAGATTTTTGTTAAATTAATTTATTATCTATAATGATCTGTGTTTGAAAGAAAATGGTGAATTCTTTTTATTATATTCGTATTCGATATATATATATATATATATTCGATAGTTATCGATACGGAAGAACGGAATCGTAGAAATCGGTTATTCACAGACAAACGAACGAACGAACGAACGAAACGATCCGATTATCCGTCGATGTTCTATCGTTTATCTTGCCTATTCTAATGGAAAATAAATGTTCTGTTATAACGCGATTACTTTCCGAGATTTCTATGCCTTCTTTATTTCCTGTCTATATCCAAGGAATTAGACTTTACTAATCATCTTACGTCAGTCATTTTATAAATCAAAGAAAAGAAAATTCTTCAAAATAAGCAATTATAATATTGATAATTATTTTACAATAATTATAGGATTATGTAAATAATTGATTTTTATTATTATAAATAAGTATGTGGTATATTTTAAATATTTATTATCATACAAGTATAATATATTCTAAA